AAAACACACACAACAGTGAGGAGAGGCAGAAAGAACCTTTGAGAAAGGGGTAGTGCACAAATATAAAACAGGTCCAGGCATTTTCTATAAATTCATTAAAAGCAAGCTGCATGTAAAAGATAAAATCCAGATACAGTATTCAGAATAGGGAACAGGTTCACTGAGAATGAAAAAGAAATGTGTGAAATGCAAAATAAACAGTTCCAAAGTGCATTTGTACAAAATGAGGATTTCAGAGAGCCAGACCCAATGACAATTCCAAAACACGCCATATAATACAAAAAGGTATCTCAAGACGAAGTGGAAAATTTCTCAAGGGGCTAGGAAGAAATAATGCAGTTGGACCAGATGGAGCTTCACCTTGGGTGCTGCGAGAATGTGCAACTGAGCTGAGCATTCCACTCCAATTGATATTCCAGACATCCTTGTTCACAGGAATCTTAGCAGATATATGGAAAAAGGCAAACGTAGTTCCAATCTATAAAAATGGTAGTTGAGAAGACTGTAGCGAATAGATTATCCCAATAATATACTCGCTCCAAATATAGTGTTAATATTCCTGTCAACCTTTGGAGATGAATGAGGTGAGGCGTTGCCCGAGCAATATAAGCGGCAAGAATAGCAAACATTAACTAGTCTACTTTCAAGTGTGGTCTAGAGCAGACACTTGCGAGATACTGTACCAACGCTCAGTGCGCTCAACTCACACCAACGTATCACCTGTGTACTTCTGTATATTCGACCAAATATATATATAGTATCTTAGTGTCTGTGTTTATTTGTCACCATACTTTACGTAAGAATAGAACCGTTACATTGGTTGTGGTGCGGCTGGTAACTGGGGTTGTAGGGTGGGAGGTCGTACAGGATCGTCCGTTGTCGTAGGTGGCGGTGCTGCTGGTAACTGTGGTCGAAAAGTGAACTGCGTAGTCGGCGGATGTGTCTCTGGATTTAGCAGTGTTGCAGACATTGAGACGAAGCCTGGAGCAGAGCAGAGAGCTGAGTGAGGCCGGAGTCGTGGAGCTCTATGTGGGAGAGCGTGGCGGCTCGATTGAGAATTGTGAGTGTCTAAACTCGGGGAGCGAGAGCGTGGCGGCTCGATTGAGAATTGTGAGTGTCTAAACTCGGGGAGCGAGAGCGTGGCGGCTCGATGCGGTCGTAGTCTGCTGTCTGCTCTGTGTCGAAGCTGTAGCGTCTTGGGTTGATTAGGACTGTACACGCCGAGTACTACAGTGTTGACTGGAAATTGTAGTCTGGTACTAAAAGATGTAGGCAGTGTGTGGACAAGCTCGGTGTAGCAGGAGAGAAGAATGTGCATAATTGTTGCGTCCTTGGGTCGCTGGTGGAGCATTTAGATCCGGGGCGGATGGGCTCGGGCACCAGGACATTAGGAGGTAATGTAGGCACGTAGTTAAGACAACGAGGGAATCACTGCTAGAGCTGAATTGTCCTGGAGGCGACGAAGAGTCGGAAACACAAGCTGTAAGTCCTGTACTGCGCAAAGGGCTTGAGTCGGCAGAGTATCAAAATGCAGTGAACGTGTAGATGAATCTGACGAAAGAGCAGCTTTCGTGGGCGCCCCTGTAGAACAAGCAGTGCCCTGGCAGCGACGGAGAGTCGGCAGGACAGGCTGTAGATCCCACATTATGTAGTTACTGATGAAGCTGCCAGATGAGTGAGTAGTGATCGTGGAGCAGCAAGCCGTAGTAGATGAAAAGGCAGAGACGATCGCGGTGAAAATCATAGCTGTGGCGCGCGTGTTGGCAGCGTTCCGTGACAGGTGGCAGCGGTCCACAGCAAGCAGCAGCAGTAGAGGTCCAGTGAGAGTCCATGTTGTAGTCCATCGTGGCTGGGTATCGTCGAAACTCTCTGGGGTCACCAATGTAACGGTTCTATTGTTACGTAAAGTATGGTGACAAATAAACACAGACACTAAGATACTATATATATATTTGGTCGAATATACAGAAGTACACAGGTGATACGTTGGTGTGAGTTGAGCGCACTGAGCGTTGGTACAGTATCTCGCAAGTGTCTGCTCTAGACCACACTTGAAAGTAGACTAGTTAATGTTTGCTATTCTTGCCGCTTATATTGCTCGGGCAACACCTCACCGTGCTGCCCGGGCAACGCCTCACCTCATTCATCTCCAAAGGTTGACAGGAATATTAACACTATATTTGGAGCGAGTATATTATTGGGATAATCTACTCGCTACAAGACCCTCTAAATTATATACCTGTATCATTAATAAGCATGGTAGTCAAAACACTACAAACAATAGTTAAAGCCAAATGGGTTGAACACCTAGAGAGCAATGACATGATAATGGACAGACAGTTTGGTTTTCGAACAGGAATATCCTGTGTAATAAATTTGTTAAGTATTTATGATAGTGCCATATAGATTATTACAGGACAGAGATGGTTGGGTTGACTGTCTATCTGGACCTAAAAAAGACTTGACAGTCCCACACAGGAGGTTATTTTGGAAACTGGAACATGCTGGAGAGGTGACAGGGAGACTTCTGACATGGATGAAAAAATTTCTAACTGACAAACAGATGAGGGCAGTAATCAGAGACAATGTATCTGACTGGAGGAGAGTTACTAGCAGAGTACCACAGGGTTCAGTTCTTGCACCAGTAAAGTTCATTGGTCTACATAAATAATCTACCAGAAGGACTACAGAATTATATGAACATATTTGAGGATGATGCTAAGATATTGGGGAAGATAGGAGACACAGACGATTGTCATGCCCTTCAAACTGATCTAGATGAAATAAGTGCTTGGAGTGATATGTGGCAAATGGAATTCAATGTGAATAAATACCATGTTATGGAATGTGGAATCGGAGAAAATAGACCACACACAACTTACAAATTATGTGGAAAGGAATTACAGACTCTTATAAAGAACGAGACCTAGGGGTGGTTTTGGATAGTAAGCTGTCGCCAGACGAACACAAAGAACATTGTGAGAGGAGCGTATGCGTCGCTTTCCAACTTCACACTTGCTTTTAATTATATGGATGGTGAAATACTAAAGAAACTGTTCATGACTTTTGTGAGACCAAAATTGGTATATGCAGCAGTTGTATGGTCCCCTGCTGCGAGAATGTTGCCCAAAATCTCAAGAACCACATAAACTTCAAAAGGTGCAATGGCATGTAACAAAATGGCTTCCGGAACCGAAACACAAGAGTTACAAGGAGAGGCTAGAGGCGTTAAATATGCCAAAGCTAGAAAATAGAAGAAAGAGAAGCAATATGATTACCATTTACAAAATACTAACAGGAATTCAACCAAATTGACAAAGAGGATTTCCTGAAACCAGCAACTTCACGAACAAGAGGGCAGATTCAAACTACAGAAACAAAGGTGCCAACAAAATACAGTATTAAAAAATTTTAAACAAATCCACAAGGGCCGTGACGAGGGTGGATGGGCTGTGACGCGGCCCTTGTGGATTTGTTCATTTGATGCATCACGCTATTGTGATTTCTGTGTGTAATGAAGTAAGGGCGAAGAGGTAGAACACCCTATTGACATTGCTTGAGTGCATGGGGGAATTGCGTAAAACCCTGGTTTGTGTCTCGGAGGGACTGCAGGAACTGTGGTAAATCAGGATGATTTCCCAGTTGCAATTCTTTTACCATGTCGTAGCTCAATCGATTAAGGCAGCGTCCGGGATCCTCTCGAACGTAGGTACGAACCCTTGTCATGGCCCTTGTGCATTTGTTCATTTGATGCATCACGCTATTGTAATTTCTGTGTGTAATTAGAAAATTTTCTTTTGCAAACAGTGGTAGATGATTGAAAGTTAAGTGAGGTGGTGGTGGAGGCCAAAACCGTCAGTAGTTTCAGAGCATTATTTGGCAACAAGTATTGGGAAAATGGGACACCACGAGTGTAGCACTCATCCTGCAATTACACTTAGATAATTACTAAAAATATAATTCAAACCAAATAAGCAGAACACCTGGAGAGATGATATGCAGTGCTGAAATAACAAAGACTACGGCTCTCGAACAGGAAGATCCTATGTCAAAAATGTAATCAGTTTTATGACAGAGCCACAGAGGTTTTATAGGAAAGAGATGACTGGGTTGATTCTGTTTATCTGAACGTAAAAAAATGAGCACTGAATATAACGGTGGCTCGCCAATTTCTGGGCGAGCCTCCATGGCTTCCTGAAGCTATGTCGTTGAGACGACTTAGATCACTGCCCGAAACGCTACACGTACTAGTGGCTTTACAAGAATGTAAAAAAACTCTTGTATGTAAACATAGATCACATCACATGTGGAGTTCAGTTCAACTTACTAGGGATCAGAGCCAGAACCTGGTCCTGAGGTTTCTGAATGGTAAACAGGAACTGCTTGCTAAGGTTTATGACTAAGATGCTGTGATACAAATCACATCATACACAAGACAGTTAAGCCAATCAATTTTAAACTCTCCCGAACCTTATCCATCCTAACCTAACCTATCCCAACCAAGCCGGACAGCCTCATAAATGCAAATACTTACTAAGCTAACAATATATATACAGTTTTACAATCATAAAATGAGCATTGTTTAAATGTCTCTGACTTGACTTTGTCCTTAAGATGATACAAATATCTTTAAGAAAAAGACTAGTTAGATAGCACAAAAACGCCTCCAATTTTACTTGAGTATATATTTACATAAAGCCTGTGAGTATATTCTTCATGACAAAGTCGACCAGAAAATATTATAACCAATGAACAAAGTTAGTGGTGAGAGCGTCTTCTGGCGTGTCCCTTTATGTTAGAGGAGGAGCGGCCCGGCCACCACCCCCACCTGCACCTCCACCACCTACACCAAGTGCCCACTTAGAGCCTCAAGACAACAAGTATTTAGTGATGAACACGGAAGACCTCGTCCCATGACTCAAGGACACCAGTCAGCTGCCTCTGCTTTCTCTGTTCAATGTAAACATCACAACTTTTCCTCCCTCCTCTCCTCTACTCACCCGGGGTCTGTAGAACCATTTCCGGAGAGAATTCATAGCTGTTGTCCATGCATAGGTTCCCCAGAGTCTTAAAAGCTACAACAATATGGTCAAATTAAGGCAACAGAACGCGAATACACAGCTGAGCTCGGCAGCGACCATCACTGTCTTGTTGATAGCTCACGCCCCTACACCTTAACAAACTACTCCCTCATTTCCATTCTTATCCCCTTAAACCACACCTATCTTAATTTATTACTAATATTCCATGCGTAATAAATATGTTTTAAGCTTTACGGGAAATTCTTTTATCATTAAATAGAACATATATTTTAGCCACAAGATGTTTGCCATAATTATGGCGGCGATTTTAAATTAAGAATGTAATGGAATTGATCGCATCATTATATTTAATGAAATCGTCTGAAATGCAGTTTTTCCTCAGAGCTTAAGATGTACATACAATATTTACGTCATCATACCTAGGAAATATTAACTGTGCTGGCCAATAATGAAATATTAGCATAAAAAGCAACTAAATTCACAGCAGACAAGGGAAAATTTCTGATCTACCCCCATTTCGAACATCTTCCAGTACCACAACACACCTGAAAGAAAACTAAAATACAAACGTACAAGTAGCGCAATATGGCGCTAAGCTGCAAAACATCGTCCACCATATGAACAGGATATAGGGTGTTTTGCTGCTAATTCCACCGTCCACCACCCAGGAACTCCATCAACTCCTAAACACACACAAACCCACTAAACATCAGACTATATCACCAAGGAACCAGGGTGTGGAACACCATCGTCATGTTAGAAAACCCAGTGTTAGAGAGCTTACTCCAAGATGAGACGCCCCCACTCCCACAGCTGGTGGCCCAAGATGAGACGCCCCACTCCCACAGCTGGTGGCCCAAGATGAGACGCCCCACTCCCACAGCTGGTGGCCCAAGATGAGACGCCCCGCTCCCACAGCTGGTGGCCCAAGATGAGACGCCCCACTCCCACAGCTGGTGGCCCAAGATGAGACGCCCCACTCCCACAGCTGGTGGCCCAAGATGTGACGCCCCACTCCCACAGCTGGTAGCCCAAGATGAGACGCCCCACTCCCACAGCTGGTGGCCCAAGAAGAGACGCCCCACTCCCACAGCTGGTGGCCCAAGATGAGACGCCCCGCTCCCACAGCTGGTGGCCCAAGATGAGACGCCCCACTCCCACAGCTGGTGGCCCAAGATGAGACGTCCCGCTCCCACAGCTAGTGGCCCAAGATGAGACGCCCCACTCCAACAGCTGGTGGCCCAAGATGAGACGCCCCACTCCCACAGCTGGTGGCCCAAGATGAGACGCCCCACTCCCACAGCTGGTGGCCCAAGATGAGACGCCCCACTCCTACTGCTGGTGGCCCAAGATGAGACGCCCCGCTCTCACAGCTGGTGGCCTAAGATGAGACGCCCCACTCCCACAGCTGGTGGCCCAAGATAAGACGCCCCCACTCCCACAGCTGGTGGCCCAAGATAGACGCCCCACTCCCACAGCTGGTGGCCCAAGATGAGACGCCCCACTCCCACAGCTGGTGACCCAAGAAGAGACGCCCCACTCCCACAGCTGGTGGCCCAAGATAAGACACCCCCACTCCCACAGCTGGTGGTCAAAGATAGACGCCCCACTCCCACAGCTGGTGGCCCCTAGACGAAACGCCCCATTCCCACAGCTGGTGGCCCAAGATGAGACGCCCCACTCCCACAACTGGTGGCCCAAGATGAGACGCCCCACTCCCACAGCTGGTGGGAAAACCCAGCCCACAATACATAATTCCTAGATGAAATACTGATCATGAACTCCCTCCCTCTCTCAGAATTAAATAAATAAATACAAAATAAATTTTCTATATAAATAAAAATGTAAATGTTCGTTTGATCAAAATGGTTAATCTACGAAAGTTCTTCACCGATTGCTTTGAAATTTTCACACAACGTTCCATTCGCATCCGAGCGCATTTTTATATACATACTATATAGAGATGACGGAAAAAAACATGCTTTTTTGACAAAACTATGTTTTTCATGTTTTTCCTGTGAGGGAAATCTTCCAAACCTCTTTACCGATTGCTTTGAAATTTTGACACAACGTTGCATTCGAATAGGCGCATGTTTTTATATACCTACTATATATATACCTCACCTGTGATAGGAAAAACACATGTTTTTTTGTTTTTTTAAACAGCGCTATCTGTTGGACGTAAGAGCAACACACGTGTTAATCTCCAAAAGTTCTTCACTGATTGCTTTGAAATTTTGACACAACGTTCTATTCAAATACACATGTTTTTATATACCTACTATATAGATGCCACACCTGTGACAGGTAAAAGCAAGTTTTTTTTTTAGAGCAGCTCCATCTGTTGCACTTAATAGCAATACAATACAACAATTTTATTTAGGTAAGGTACATACATAAAAGAAATTTTTACAAAGATTGGTTGACTTATAGATAGAGCTAGTACATACAATGCCTAAAGCCACTATTACGCAAAGCGTTTCGGGCATGATAAACTTAAATGACAAGCTTAATACTAATTGAGCATAATGAGTAGAATGAAAACAAGAAATGAAAACATAGATGAAAAAGCAGCACAAATACAATTATGTCGACAAACAGCGCTCTTTAAAGAAAAAAAACAGACATTGGTTGACAATAGAAGGGTAAGGTAGGTTACAGGGAATTTATTAGGTATAGCTTCGCTTTTAACTTAAACTGGTTGAGAGAGGTACAGTCTTTAACATGGTTGGGAAGGTCATTCCACATTCTGGGCCCCTTGATTTGTAGAGCATTTATAGTTTGGTTAAGTCATACTCTTGGAATATCAAAACTGTATTTGTTTCTGGTGTGGTGCTCATGGGTTCTGTTACAGCCTTCAATGAAGCTTTTGAGGTCAGGATTGGCATTACAGTTCAGCGTTTTATATATGTATAATACACATGAGAGAATGTGCAGTGACTTAATATCTAACATATTCAGAGATTTGAGTAAGGGTACCGAGTGATGTCTGGGGCCAGAGTTGGATATTGTCCTAATAGCAGCTTTGTGTTGAGTAATTAGAGGACGTAAATGATTTTGGGTAGTAGAACCCCAAGCACAAATACCATAGTTGAGATAAGGATAGATGAGGGAGTAATAGAGCGTCACCAGGGCAGGGCGGGGTACATAATATCTGATCTTAGAAAGAATGCCCACAGTTTTTGAAACTTTTTATGATATATTTATAATGTGTCCCTGGAAATTCCGCTTTTGGTCAATGAGAATGCCAAGGAATTTGCCATCTATTTTGTTACAAATTTGGGTATTGTTTATCCTGAGATTTATTTGATTAGAGGATTTATTGCCAAACAGAATATAGAAAGTTTTGTCAATGTTAAGGGTGAGTTTGTTGGCAGTTAGCTAAAGATGGACTTTATTTAGCTCAGTATTCACTGTGACATTTAGAGCAAGGGGGTCAGGACTGGAGTAAATGAAGGTTGTGTCGTCAGCAAATAGAATTGGTTTGAGGTGTTGGGAGGCAGTTGGAAGGTCATTAATGTAGATGAGAAAGAGGAGAGGGCCAAGTATGCTGCCCTGAGGATCACCATTGTTGATGGGTAGGGTGGGAGAAATTGAATTATTCACAGAAACAAACTGGAGCCTGTCAGTAAGGTAAGATTTGAGGTAATGCAGGGAGTGTCCACTGACTCCATAATGATGTAATTTAAGAAGAAGGTTTTGGTGGTTGACAGTGTCAAAAACCTTACGCAGGTCCATGCACAAATAGCCCAACAGGGAACTCATTTTTATCAAGAGCGGCATGAATCAAGTTAATCATACTAATAAGTGCATCGTTAGTGTTTTTTTTGGGTCTGAAGCCATATTGACAGGAGCTAAGTATATTGTGTTTGGCTAGATAAGAGTAAAGCTGCTTGTAGATTAGTTTTTCAAATATTTTTGACAAGTTAGGCAGGATTGATATAGGTCTGTAGTTGTTAACATCTGTGAGATCACCACATTTGTGGACAGGGGTTACTCTCGCTTTTTTTTTTAGAATATCTGGAAAGGTTTGGAGTTCAAGTGACTTGTTGAAGAGCAACGCAATAGCAGGGGCCAAAGATCTGGAGGCTTTTTTGTAAATTAAAGTTGGTATCTCCTCAAGGGCACTAGACTTGGTTTTAAGGGAAAGGATTAACTCATTGACGTCAGTGGAATTAGTAGGCTTTAGGTAGAGAGACTGTGGATAGTTACCTGTAAGATAGTCCTTAACATCAGTACTGGAAGATGGAATATCATTTGCAAGGGATGACCCAATGGTAGAGAAGAACCTATTGAACTCAATAGCAGAATCAGAGGCTGAAAGCTGACCATCGTTATTGGACAGGAGTGTTGGTTTGTTATTTAAAATCTTCTTTGATCCCAATATTTGTGAAATTGTGCTCCAAATTTTTTTAATGTTGCCCTTTGTTTGGGTAAATTTATCTTCGTAGTATTTAGTTTTGGCTCTTCTAATTATTTTAGATAGCAATAACGAGTAATTCTTTGAGAATTCTTTGGAGACAGTTCCTAACCTATACTTCTTCTCAAGGTCATGTTTTTTATTAATGGATTTAAGTATTCCCTTTGTAAGCTAAGGATTGTTAAGCCTTTTGGTTGTGACTTGTTTCGTTAGCATAGGACAGTGGGTGTTATAAAGGCTGAGAGTTTTTTGAAGAAAAGATTGCACTGCTAGGTTGATGTCCCCTATGTTACCTAACTCGGTAACTACCCAACTACCTAACTCCCAGTTGACATTAGCAGCAGCAGCTATAAAATTGCATATTAAAATTAAAAATTAAAACATATTTAATAAATATGTTACGATTCCATTTCATATTTTCGATTGCATTGATAAATTGAATTTCCATAGATTTCGATTTATTTTCGTTTTGATTTAATTATTTTGTGTGAAATTGAGTTGGAATTGAGCTGTGTTGTGTACCATACCGTTCATTTCGTAAATATAAGAATAGATGCCACACCTGTGACGGGTAAAAACTTTCTTTTTTTTGAAAAACAGAGCCATCTGTTGCACGTAAGAGGAACACACACTATACTAAATATGTTACGATTCCTTTTAAATGTTTCCGATTTCATTGATAAATTGAATTTTCATAGAT